AATCTGTCGAGTCGCAAAAGTTCTCCTTGTTCCCAAATCAAGACCTCTGGGGGTACTGGATTGGAGANATATTTATATTTGTCCAAAATTTGCTTATTGTTAAATTTTTAAAAAGCGTCTTTGCTTCAAATCCCCATAATAATTCAGCTAGCTCATCTTGCAGGCTGATGTCCACGTTTTCAATTTGAGCAGATTATGGCACAATAATCCAATCAGGGATGTCAATGTTTTCCAAATCAACAAGACGCAGTTTAAAATCGTCGCACAATTTTTGAAGATTATACATTTCCAAGTCTTCTTTTATTTCTTATTGTCACATATCTGAAAAATACTGATAATCCTTCGACCAATCGACCCTTCCGGTTCGGATCGACCCCCATTCGACCCCCTGGCTCAGATCAACCCCCGCTTATGTTAAATAGACCCCTGGGGGTCTATATAGACCACTTTGGCGACCTCTGATCTACGGTATTATACCACCGCCCTTGAAGTAACTAACTTCAACAATTGATTAATTTAATTAGGTAATTATGCAAGAAAGTGTTAACAAATTCGCAATTTTCTAGACTTGTTCGAAACATTCAAAATACTAAAAACACTTCAGAGTAGTGTTTCCAAGAAGTATTAAATTTAGCAATTTTAAGAATATCTAATAGAAAAATTAAACAAGCATAAATTTAGAATCACAAAATCAAATATCTTAGAGTATAAATTTTGAAAATCACAAAAGCACACAAAATTCAATTCTAAATTATTCTCAATAACTTAGTTTAATTATTGACTCAAAAATTTAGCTATAATTGTGATATTTAAATTTTAGAGTTAAGAGGCAATAAATATAGCTTTACAACTGGTATTTTAATTGTACCATTAACAGTTTTGTGTTGGGCCTATGTCCGAGAGTTCGTGGGTTCGAACCCCGCCGGCCGCAGACTCCCCGTGTAGTAAAGTAACTGATGCTCGTTAAATCTGTCGAGTCGCAAAAGTTCTCCATGTTCCCAAATCAATACCTCTGGGGGTACTGGATTGGAGATCGATCGTTCTGTGATTCAAGTCAAAATTACGATCTGTGGATGAATGAATGGATGTATGAATGGGTCAGCGCTATGAACGGGTGTGACGTATGGTGTGGCAGAAGTCAAATTCTTTTCCATAGATGGCGCCACTGAAAAACAAGAACAATCGCACCCCCTCTACCTAAACAGGCATACGTCAACAACAACATTAACAGTTTTTAAGGATACAACTCGTATCTTATCGTCACTACCTGGAATTGTCTCAATAACTCTTCCTAAACTCCATTTTTGTGGTGGTAAATTGTCATTTCTTATGATCACTAAATCACCTATCTTTATGTTTAGTCGGCTGGCATACCATTTTGGAATATTTTGCAGTCAGGATAGATATTCGGATTTCACCAATCCCAAAATCAGTTTTTGCAATAAATTCCATCTAAATAGTCTGTTATCAGGAGAAATGTATAATCCCTCTCTGTTAGTGATGTTAAAGATTGTTCTGTTAGAAAATGCCCAGAAGTCGAAGGAGCTAAATCGTTGGGATCACTTAAAATCGGCGTAATGGGTCTAGAGTTCAAGCTTGCTTCAATTTGCACTAGAAGAGTGTAAAACTCTTCATAAGAAAGTGTCCCAGAATGCGGCGTAGATGGTATTTCACGGATTTGACACCTGATTCCCCGATGCCACCCATGTGAGGCGCTGGCGGAGTGTTGAAATGCCCACTTATGTTATTGTCGGCTAGATGATGGGATACTTCATCTGTGTGGGTTATAGACCTCTAGTTGCGATCCTCTTCCAGTATTTTGGATGCACCTACAAAATTAGTACCACAGTCACTATAGAGATCAGTACACTGCCCACGTCTATCAATTAATCTTTTTAGAGCAGCAACGAATGCAGTCTGAAGTCATATCATCCACTAGCTCCAGGTGAATAGCTCCAGTTACAAAGCACACGAAGAATGCGATGTATCCCTTGTAGGTAGATCTACCTCTTCATTTTGATGCTTTTAGTGAAAATGGACCGGCATAGTCCACACCACATTTTGGAAAGGCCTTGCATGGTAAAGATCTTCCATAAGTTGTTCTATGGTTTGAGCCTTATGTCGACAACAAATGACGCATTTTCGAACGTTATGCCTGGCAACATCCCGAACTGCAATGATCCAATACTTTTGAATCCAGATCAATTCTAGATCAATAATGTTCAACTCCGTAGTCTTGTAATTTTGAACCGAATCCAGATCACAAAGGAACTCCTGGATTAAGTATTGAAATCTACCTTCTTAGAGAACTTTTTATAGCATTTTTTTTAAATGTATTTGCATTACATGGAGAGGAAACTGCGAAAACCTCCCACGCTTAGCATGTCTGCAAGGGGACTCTAATCAATATCCCTAACCAATGAGGATATTTTACGTCAGCACTGTGGGACGATCCAGGTGCGGAATTCGTATCGCCATTGCTGGGCATATAATCTTATTGGAATGCGAATGCTCTATCCCCTGAGCCACCACGACTCTCTTCGTATTCATGAGAAAAAACGCCTCACTTTTTTCTCAAAACACCCATGTTTTAGACTTTTCTTTTTCTGTGCACATCTTCTATAGGAAATGTTACTATCCCACGTTCACCAGTGAGCTCCAAATATTTTTAGTGTTACTCGTATCATTTACTACAATTATTATAATTTCTTTTTAAAGAAAAACCTGTTGTTCTCCCCTCTTACAATAGTTATTTTATTCCAAAAGAATAACAAAACAAAAACTACTCTCGATTCATTTTGCTGAGAAAGCGATGCGAAAGAGTTGAATCACCTGTAAACAAACAGACGGATGAGGGGGTGTGCGAAGGAGGGATCGCGTAGGAGTCATCGGTTGGCAAAAGATCTAAAATCCTTGAATTAGTTTTTTATACGCAAGCTTCTGAACTTGACCCGGTAATCACACCATTTCATTCTTTTTTCAAATTCTTGACTTACTCCGGAATGTTTACATTCTTATCGATATTTAACAACTCAATATCTTCTGATCTAATCATCGGATTTTCGTGTACTCACCTGTTATCTCGATGGTTCAAAGAGTAGACCTTAAACAAGCTCATAAAATTATGCAGAAAATAGTGAAAGCTACCCGATCTCTATATTAACCGCATAAAAAGGGACTTTTCGAAAATTTTTATTTAATTTTATATATTCGAATTTTATTTTATTTTATAACCGTCGTTGAACAGCCGACCCAATTTTGGGTTTACGACTACTAATGTTCAACTCCGTAGTCTTGTAATTTTGAATCCAATACAGAAGACAAGGGAACACCTGGCTCAAGTATTGGGAGAAATTTGTCTTCGTGGAGGACTATTTGATGGAACTAACCGTATTTGCGTTACATGGAGAGGAAAACCACGAAAACCTTCCACGGATAGCGCGAAGGCAAGGGGACTCTAGCCTATAATCCGTCTACCACTGAGGATGCTTCGCGTCACTACTGTGGTCGGTGCAAGCCGAATGCGGAATTCGTTTCGACCAGACATCGTCGGGATTCGAACCTGGTTCACCTCATTAGAAGGCGAACTCCCTTAGCCAACAAGGCTCTACTTTTTTTTTGTCGGGCTCTGATTTTTGATTATCGAAATAGGGGCCGCTATCTGGTCCAAACTTAATCAAGATAAAGTGATCGAAACTTTAAGCCCGTTATTATTAAGTTTAGCTCTTTTTTTTTACCTAGCGTATTTTGCTTTCTATAACTATATGGATGTTAAGGTGAATTGAAAAGTTTTGGACATAATTATATATTTTTTTATTAATAAATTATGTTCATAATAATTGTAAAGAATTAATAAAATTACGTTTATAATAATTGTAAAGAATTAATAAAATTCTGTTTAAAATAATTGTAAACATAATTTACGAATTCTTTGCAGAAAATATTTTTTTATTATTTTTAAATTTAATTATGCTCGAAATATTTTGGATTGTTTACAAGTTTGCACCATTATGACTGCCTTCTTTTTTAATTGAACAAATTTATTGAAGTCATTAAACTTTTAATATGGAATATTAATTTTTTTTTTAAAGTTGTTATAAATTTAAAAGGTCAAAATAGATAGCAGTCACTTTATTTTTAAGCTTTTTACGTCTTAAGAAATTTTTACATTTTGCACGTTTGTTTCTTGTTTCGCTTTAATAGGAATAGGACAAATTTCGATTTTTGAAGTTTATATAATTTTAATCGTGCAAAGTAGACAGCGACGATTTCTCTTTTAATTTGTGACATGACAAAAATTTTTAATTTCTTACGTGCTTGTTGGACATGTTTGTGATGTTTCAAAAAAGCTAGAGCCTATTTTAACTTATGTTTTAAATAATTTTTGACTCTTATTTAGTTTTAATAAGATAAAGTAGATAGCTGTCATTTCCCTTTTAGCTTATTTAAAAAAGTTCGATTTTAAATTTTGATTTCGATTTTAATTTCGATTTTTCGAAGTGTTTGCATGGTTTCAATCGAGTAAAGCACATATCGATCGTTTAAAATCTAACTTATGATATCTTAAATATCAACTGCTTATTAATTGTTCTCGCTCGGAACTTATTATGCTTTAAAAATATTCCAATTTACAAGAGTATGTATAATTTCTATAGGGCAAAGAAGATAGCGATCATTTAAATTTTAACTTATCATAGCTTAAGAACTTTCATTTGGACATGATTTTAAATTTTAATCTTAAACATTTTGAGATAGATAATAAAATGAAAATAAATTTATTTCTTATAAAAAAGAAAAGAATCATTTCAAAAACCTTGTTAGTGGGTCGACCCCAAAAACTCAAATGATAGTGTCGATCCCCATTTATTTCTGTCCACAATGTGTATATAAAGGGGAAGTAGTTGTGTTTAGAGACTTCTTTTATGGCCATGCATCGGACAGAAATAGCAACTTGTGTGAGGACGGGGAATTAAATGCGCTGAGAAGCAACTTTAATTGCCGAGGCCTATTTGACACAAGAATAGAATATCAAGAAAGAGATCCCTTTTTTGGTTCGCCCTCCCCACTAGGGCGAACAAAAGCCAAACTACAAATTGTCTGATCTTCCGCATCCTCATCCACACGGACAGCATCATCTCCATCCTATCTCTCTCTCAAAGGTGAGTCTCTCTCTCTCCCATCTCTTTGGATACTTCGGAATTTTTAATCATCTACGTCTTCGGTGCTTCAGCTCGGTGACTTTTATTCTATTATGATTACATGGAATATTAATTATTTAAATTTGATTCATGAGACACAATACCTCACAAACTATCTTCATTTCTTCTAATATTGTATTGATATATTTTGCTTTGGCTTTATTGATACAATATTAGACAGCTCTCCTTTTTTAGGATATAATCGTGTGAGCTGATGAAAGAACTATATCCTTTTTTTCCGGTTTTTTATTAATTTGAAAAAAAATTTTTTTTTACATTTTTTAAATTTTAAATTTTTAATAATTTTTTTTTACATAATTTTTTTCTTCTCTTTTATTTATTTTTATTTTTTTATTTAAGTATTTTAAAAATAGTAGCAAAACTTTTAAATAATATTCCTCGACTTCTATGTTAAATTTTCATTTAAATAATTTAAAAAGACACTATAAAGAATTATGTAAAGTTTTTTTTTAATTAATTAATTACTTGACCATACTATATTTAATTTTTCAAAAAATGGAGAAAATATTTTAAAGAATTCTCATTTATTTTAATAACAATTTTCAATGATGTGGAACAACTCGATTATGTGTTTTTAAGGACTGAAACATATTCGAATTTATCTTTCTTCTTTTTTGAAATTTGATTATAAACCAATGATTTAAATACAGAGCCAACAACTTTTTTTTGTTGTCTTTCCTTAGAATTAATATTTTAAGTTCGACTATTTTCATTTTTAAAAAAGTATAATAATTATAAAACGAAAATCATACGACAATTCTTAATTCTAGTAAATTAATTCTTTCTTTCTTCACAACGATTTTCGCGTATTCACACGCACGCATTAAACCGCTCATGAAATTCAAGGAATTAGGTTAGATACTTAGGTTTAAATAATAATTAATTGAAATTTTGAATCGTAAAAAAATCTATTATTTGATTCTTATTCATTTTATTTTATGATTAATCATAAGAGGTTCTTTATGTCTACTATTGTTTTATTCGGAAAATTATAACGCTTAAAATTTTTAACAAATAAGTTTTATAATAACCTAATGATGTCTACTAATGTTTTATTCTGAAAATCGTAACGTTTAAAGTTATAAGCAAAACATAATTTTCAGCAACATACATAACACCAATACATATTTCGTTGCACTTTAGAGTTTTGAACAATTGCGTTATAATTTTTTAACAACTTATTGTTAAATCTTGATTTTTAGAGAAACTTTTGTTCAAAGTACTACATTTTATGAAAAACATTTTAAAAAAACTACATTCATATGATGAAAATTGAATCATGGAAATTTAACTAATAAAGATATTTTATATCTTATAGTGAATTTTATATTACGTGTAAACATAATCAATCAAAGAATGATTTATTGATAATGATTTATAAGCACAAATTTACCGTCGGGATTATTACAATCATTATGAAAAATAATAATATATTCGCACAGTTTGAAAAATGCTCAAAAATTTAGATGCCAAAAACTTAAAAAGAGTGAAATTTACAAGCATTTAAAATACTTGATTGTCTCACATAATTTTCTAAATTAATTAATAGTTGCCAATTAAGTGGCATGTAGACATTTAGAAAATGACTTTACTTTTATTTAAAAACAAAATGTCTTTATAATACCAGTCTACTTAGATACTTAGTTTAAAAAAAAACTTTCAAAATTGTCACCTCATTTCAAATATTCCTAGAAATTTTTTTTTTCCACTGGAAAAATCAACTTTTGACAACATTCTTATTTGCCTTTAAAAGCGGAAAAGAATGTTGCCAAAGTGTTAAATACAAATGATTTCAAATGTGGAAGTAGTGCAATTATTTTCACTACTTCCAGCAGTGTGTTAGTTGAAAAAGTTGAAAAAGTTAAAAAAGTTATAACTGTAAAAAAAGTTGAAAAAGTTAAAAATAAATAATTTTGCTGTTTGTTTTGCTGCACTGCTTTTCGAAATAAGTGCATTTTAAATGGAAGAGTTGCTTAAAGAATAAACATATTTTACTTATATTTCTGGTTTGCAAGCAAGAATTCTATTGACACTTTGATAAACTTTGGAATTGTAGAAAGAAATGGAATTGCAGAAATAACAAAAATAAATATAAGAGAGATGAATAAAATGTAAAATGTAATGTTTGTAAAATGTTTGTAAAATGTAATGTAAATGTTTGAAAGTTGGTATTAGACCACGGTTAACTGAAATCATTAGGATCGGATTTCTTTCGGATAACCGATATATTCGTATAATGGAGGTTTTTTCTTCCTTTTTTTAAAAATCTCTTTTCATCAATAACATCTGACTATCGATTTTTTTTTATAGTGATGTATAGTATTTAAATACAACTTAATATGACTTAATTTAATAAATGTTTTAGACAAAACGGTACAAAGAGATTATTTATTTTTAAATTCTTACAGTGGAATTCTCTTTATTTTACAAAAGTTAAAGAAAAGAAGAATATAGAAAGAAAGGAAGTATTTTACGAGTTTGGGTAATAACAGTATATTATTTATAAATAAAAAGAAAAAATATATATAATGATCCTGTAAGGAAAGAAAAAAAAATCGGATTCGATTTGGTTTAACAGAAATGCTCCGATGTTAAATGATTCGATAATCTCTGTATAATGTCGTGCAACAGCAAAATCAATGTAAGCGACAAAAAATTCAAAACTGAGCTTTTGATTTTTCGGTATATATAAATAACCAGCGATTCCCAAATTTTTTCGGCTAACGAATCCTAAAGGATTAGGCTTATTTTTTTTGCGGAAAAAAACTAGTTAACTAGTTTTCGTAGCATTAAACTAGTCTTCATGGGGAACTTTTTAGATAGAGAAGAAAACCACGAAAACATCACCCGGTTAGCCCGATGGCAAAGGGACTCTAATCTACCTACCAGAAAAAGTAATTTTAAGCCAGAACGGTTCGAGCTTGAGGGTAGAATTCGCATCAACCTGCTATCGTTGGGTTTGAACTTGGGTCTTGGAAAATGAGCACTCTTTCTTTTGCAGTGACGCGTTCTAGTGACCAGAATTAAAATTTTCCATTAATTTGTTTTTATAAAATTTTGTTGTGATTTAAGTAAAATATTCTTTTTTCCAGTTAGCCACTGCAGCAGACTAAAGCAGAATGTGTGACGACGATATTGCCGCACTCGTTGTAGACAATGGCTCCGGCATGTGCAAGGCCGGTTTCGCCGGTGATGACGCTCCCAGGGCTGTCTTCCCATCTATTGTTGGCCGACCCAGGCATCAGGTACTACATTTCATTGCAATAAAATGCATGCAACATATTTCATAGCTATTACAGTACAACCTTTCCTTAAAAGCACACACGTTTCATAATCTGAATCAATTCCTTACTATTAGTTTCCCACTCTCCCTATTATCTTGTTCAAATTTTCAATCGTTAATAAAATACTTTTTATTCATCCACACAACTTCAAATACAGTTTTTTTAAAACTTCTAGTGGATGACATTTTGATGTTAATACAGTTTGTTTCAAATATTAATTCATTCATTAAATTTGATTAATTAATTTTAGTTTTATATGGGAGAAAATTTTTTAATTAATTAATAAAAAGTAACTGAAATAAAAATTTTCGTTGTTGACCTAAATAGGAATTGACTTAAAATTTTTTTTTAAATACTACTTGTTAAAATCTTTGTCTAACGACTCTAGTTTATTTTATTCTATCTGTAAATATTACGCATTGACACTATATACTAACTCACTTAATTTTTTATTTATAAATTTTCAAATCCTAATGCAAGAGGCTTTACCATCTTAATAACTTGATATATAATATTTTTTTTTCTTATTTAATTGTTAAAATTGGTTATTTGAATGGATAATAGTAAAATAGTTCTGCCTGTAGGCGCTCGGTCTTATAGCCTAGATATGAAAAAAAAAAGTTAAACGAAGAATGAGTACATATTTAATTTAAAAATCGAGGTGAATATTTTTTGGTAACATATTTAAAATATGAACTTATATAACGTAAAATAACTTTACAGGAAAAAGTAAAACTGCCGGCAAGATTTGGCTGCATGGATAATAAGTATAGTTCGTTTATCAGGAGTTGGCACTTGACTCCATCTTCTCGGACACTGAGTTCATTTTAGCACTGGAGTAAGAGGAGAAACATCTCCGCGCTTGAAATTGAGACAACCCTTAATGAGTACCAAACGCAAACAGTGAATTCTATTATACCTTTCGTTACTCTAGTTAATTAAATATATTTTAAATTTAAAAACTGCTGCTTCCCAGCAAAATGTCTCAAAAAGGACAATCTATTCACTTAAAAGAGAAAAATATCATTAAATTAATGAAATATTTAATGTTAAAAAAATGCACATAAAGATTGCGAAATAAATATTTTTGTCATACAATCGCCAAATCTCAACCTTGTTCAGAATTGTTTACATCCTTCTCCCAAAAGTAGCGAAATAGTATCGTCTGATATCACGTGATGTAGGCGGAGCCAAGTGCCAACTCCTGGTGAGCGAACTATACACCATCTTCTTTCTTTTAATAAAATACACACATCCATTATTAAATTTTGAAACTTTATTCTAATTCTAATTGAAAGCGTAACTAAAAATGAGTGTTGTTGTTGTAGGGTGTGATGGTGGGTATGGGTCAGAAGGACAGCTACGTTGGGGATGAGGCCCAGAGCAAGAGGGGTATTCTCTCTCTCAAGTACCCCATTGAGCACGGCATCGTCACCAACTGGGATGACATGGAGAAGATCTGGCATCACACCTTCTACAATGAACTCCGTGTAGCCCCCGAAGAACACCCCGTCCTTCTCACTGAGGCTCCACTTAACCCCAAAGCAAACAGGTGAGATATTTTTTCTTTCTTTCAGTACTACTTAGGCATCACCACCTAAATTTTAGTTGCAGATATTGATTGAGTCATTTTATGTGTTTGCAGAGAAAAGATGACTCAGATCATGTTTGAGACATTCAACAGTCCAGCAGTGTATGTGGCTATCCAGGCTGTCCTCTCCCTCTACGCATCCGGCAGGACAACCGGTATTGTGTTGGACTCTGGTGATGGTGTCTCCCACACCGTCCCCATCTATGAAGGTTACGCCCTCCCCCACGCCATTCTTCGTCTGGACTTGGCCGGACGAGATCTTACAGACTACCTCATGAAGATTCTGACTGAGAGGGGATACTCCTTTGTCACCACAGGTGTGTATCATGATTGACCTCTTCTCATTCTTCCTTAATTGAAATGAAGGAAAGAAGCCTTAATCAATGAAAAAAGTCTTGACTTAACGAATTATTTCAATAGCCACAAGTTAATTAGTTGAAAAAGATTCTTTCAAATGTTTTAGTGTTATTTCATGAGATTATTATAGTTAAATTAAAGTTATATTATCTGAATCTATTAATAATCTAAGTATATATCCAATATTATTAAATATCTAACATTATTATAGATCTATTATATAAATCTATAACAGGGAGAAATTAGCTTGTAAATTTATTAAGTTCCCACAATTGTCAGGTTTGTAACTTAAAAGATTCGAAATGGTGATTTTCTTCCCTATCTATTAATAGTCTATTTATAATCTAAATATGTATCCAATATTATTAGATATCTAATATTATAATAGATCTATTATATAAATATGGGGCAGGGAATTTGCTAAATTATTAACTTCCCACAATTGTCAGGTTTGTAACTTAAAAGACGTCAAAATTGTGCTTTTCTTTCCCATCTATTAATAGTTTTTAATTATCTAAATACATATCCAATATTATTAGATATCTAATATTATAATAGATCTATTATATAAATCTAGGACAGGGAAAAATTCTTTTGTTAATTTATTTACTTCCCACAATTGTCAGGTTTGTAGCTTAAAAGACATCAAAATGGCACTTTTCTTCCCTGAAAATCAATGCTTTCGCTACTAGACCTTTGCATCATTCGCTCTGTTAAAATTAGTGAAAAACAGTTCTTTTTGAAAAAAATTGTAGCATCGTTGGATGGAAATTCAAAATAAATAAATAGAATAAACAAAAAAAATTTAGATATTACGAAATGTTTTCTAAAGTTTAATAGATTAAAAAATATATTCAGAAAGCGTGATTTTCTCGCTTGCGTGTGATGTATTCGCAGTTCCTTAAACTAATGGATTAAAAGTAAGCTTGCAATCATCTCTGAAACTAACAAGCTTGCACCAAGCTTCATAGCAACACTTCTAAATGGATAATCAGTCACTCCAGATCACGCACAACCTCTAATTAAGGGTATTTTTGTGTATTAGACCCAGAAATTGAGAATAATGCCAAATTTCACGAATAAAATATTCATATAAAATGAATTAGTTTAATCGGAGTCCGACTGTGCGTAATAGGGCAATATAAGATTTCTTTCTACTGGCCAGTTGTTTCCCTTTTAACAGTGTCCACTTTTTTTTAAGATTGAAAATTTTAAACCATTAAAAATTCTTTTGATGTAATTAATGTTAGGCATTTTTTTGCAAGCGCTTCTCTAAATATGGTAAACATTTCTAAAATGAAGATAAATTTTAAGAAACAAGCTTGAAATTTAATAATTTTCAGAGTATATTATAAACTATTAATAATAATTCCACTAAAATTTACTAAAAAGGAATAATTATGGACTGCCTCTTCAACGTATAAAGTGGTGATCGCCAGATAATTTTTATGATCACCATTTGTTCTATTTAGTCGTCCTGAGGTAAACGTAATTTGGTCCAACATTCTGAATTTGTTTCTTTTTTCAATACAGCTGAGAAAGAAATTGTAAGAGACGTCAAGGAAAAGCTGTGCTACGTAGCTCTGGACTTCGAGCAAGAAATGGCCACCGCTGCCACCAGCTCCACCGCTGAGAAGTCCTACGAGTTGCCAGATGGTCAGGTGATCACCATCGGAAACGAGAGGTTCCGAACACCCGAAGCTCTCTTCCAGCCATCCTTCATCGGAATGGAATCTGCTGGCATCCACGAGACCACCTACAACTCCATCATGAAGTGCGACATCGATATCCGTAAGGACCTGTACGCCAACACCGTCCTGTCCGGAGGCACCACCATGTACCCCGGTATTGCTGACAGGATGCAGAAGGAGATCACCTCCCTCGCCCCCAGCACCATGAAGATCAAGATCATCGCACCCCCTGAGAGGAAATATTCCGTCTGGATCGGAGGATCCATCTTAGCCTCACTCTCCACATTCCAACAGATGTGGATCTCAAAGCAGGAATACGATGAATCTGGTCCATCTATCGTCCACAGGAAATGCTTCTAAATTCTTTTTTTTCTTCTTCGTCATCCACCACATCATTCTGATTCCAATATGAAAAAAAATGACTTTTATGGCTTTGAGATGAAATGAATATATTTACAGTTGTAACAAAATGTAATAAAAAATCGATTGGTACCATCTTATTTTTTCAGATCTTTTATTTATTTATTTTTATTGTCAGTAAATCATAAGCAACTCCAATGGAATAAAAGATGAAGAAAAAAAAATTGTCTCTAAGCCTTAATACACTTAAAACACAAAATTATCCTTTTCACCTAGGTTGAAACATTTAGGTTAATTATTTAGGTACTTGGTACAAGAAGAAGTCCGGATTCACTAATTGTTAATGAGAACAAAAAGAATAAAAAAAAGACAATAGGAATAACACAGTTAAAAGACGATAGGACAGTTGTAACAATTTGTAGTAAATCGATTGGTACCATCTTATTTTTCAGTTCTCTTATTTATTTATTTTTATTGTCAGTTAAACATAAGCATTTCCAACGGAATAAAAGATGGAGAAAAAAAAATTGTCTCTAAGCCTCAATACACTTAAAACACAAAATTATCCTTTTCATCTAGATTGAAACATTTAGGTTAAATATTTAGGGACTTCGTAGAAGAACAAGTCCAGATTCCAGAACTGTTACCCAAGTGCAAATGTTTGATGGTTTTTCATAGATGGATCAACATAATCTTGACAATAACCATCAATAATTTCACCATTATATTTTTGATGGTGACCACCATAAGTAACAATCATCCCAATGTAGAAATTCGAATTGATACTCTTCAATGAGGTCCAATGATGGTCCAACATAAGAATAGCAACTTGTTTTGATGGTTTGTACATGTTGAACTATCAGAAATTTCCATCATAGTTTCTTAAAAATCAAATGTTGGAAAGATCATGAGCAACCATCATCACAATGTAGGAATTCGGACTGATTTATGATTGGCCTACATAAAAATATTGCTTTGATGGTATATTCCTGAGAACCATCAAGAATTCCCATTAAACCATCATAGATATGCAAAGTTGGAACCATCATGAACCATCACAGATCATCACGGATTGTTGGTCCATGAGAATCAAACTTCTCCTGAATGTTAACCATCAAAGTATTAAAGTAGCATTTTCCATCATGGCATGGTTTAAGTTTGTTGGCATATTAAAAACTATGAACGCATAATGGAAATTGTTTTATGATGGTGACCATCAAATGATGTTGGACCATCATGAATCACACTGAAACCAACATAAGCCATCAAAATATTTTGATGGGACCATCAAGAATTTTGACTTGGGTAATGAGAGCAAAATGAATTTTTAAAAAAAAAGATACTAAGAATATGTAGTTTCACCCCAAACTGTTTACCGAGCTACATTTGCGCCTGGTTTTTACACCAATTGAAATAGCTATATTATCCCTAGTTAAAAAAAACATTTAATTTTATTTATTTATTATTATTATTATTTTTTGGAAAATGTGTACTTATGTGACTTTTTCGATAAATTCGATATTTTACAATTGTGTGCAAAGTTATTAAGTTCGCTTAAAATTTTCTCGATCTATGGCGAAATAAGCAAAAAGTAATCCTGTTTCCTGAGCAAACTATTGGTACCATATTTACCAGATATCGCCTTCCCCCTATATTTTGAGTAATCCGTTAAAAAAAAAGAAGGTATAATTCGCCAACTTGACGTGAGAGGCTCTATTGTCACTAAGGCCATTCAGCTTTTGCTGATGCCCTTTTGAATAGAACTGCTTTAATTTCCTTTAAATTTTACAAAACCAGCGTCGCGTTATTAATGAACCTAAAACAAAATTTATGGCTCCAACAAAATGTACCTATTCACTATTACATCAGCGCTTGCGGTAGATAACTTAATGTTTGAAAGAGTTTCACCTGCCGTGGTTTAATTATCAATGATACTAACAATATTGCTGATGAAATCAACCACAAAAAGGAAAATAAATGTTTTCACTTATTCAAGAACAAACTTCTCATTAATGAAATGTATAAAACAGTTTTCAGACCTATACTTATGTCCCTAGCAGCAAAATAACTTGCGCCCTCATTGGGGAAATATTCATGAATCTTGGCTCAGTAAGGGTACAAAGGTCCTGTATTTTTCAGATACTGACCCTATATAGAATTTTCCGATTCACTCAATATTTTACAGCCACTTTACAACCAATATTGGTTCTATATATAATTGTCAGATTCACTCGATATTTTGCATCCATTATTTAGCTGTCCCTGGCTATATTATTGGATGCACTACAAGATTCTATGTAAAATTATAAATATAACGCTTGATATAGTAAATATTCTATATTTATATAATAAATCGTCTAATTTATCCTATCGTCGAATTTATATTCTATATCGTCCGATTTAACCAATTGATACACTAAAGTAAACAAGGGAAAATCGGTTTCAGTAGCGTTACAACGATAAATCTGTATAGTATCACTTGATAACTAAGGTTTTACATAGAATCTTATAGCGCGTCTAATAATTTGACCAGGGACTATAGGTTCTATATTGATCGAAGTAGGCCCTATATGGACCATTCTGGGACCAATATTAAAGAATCTAGACATCCCAATATTGATCTCTTGGTGTATGTTTTTATAGGACCATTATCGAATCAATTTTGAACCCGATTGGGGCTAAGTTAAAATTGTTGCTAGGGGTATGGCAATGAAACTTTGACTCTAAAATATAAAAACGAATCTGACCTAATTATCTGCGAAAGAAAAATTTTCCGAAGAATTTTCGGACAAGTAATAAACGCACATTGGAGAATAAGAAACGATAGCGAACTTGACCATTTAATCAGCCGAAGTAACATAATTCGATTTATCAAAACCAAACATGGCTGGGACACATGGAAATATTAAATGGTAATAGGAATTTAAGAAAACTTGAGCCAGCTGTATAAGTAACTTCAATCATTTTGTGTAGTATACTGGAGCTGTTATTTTTTGTTTTTGATTCATTGAAGTAAAAATTTAATCATTTGATTCATTTATCCTATTAAAAGAGAGAATTTAGCTATGAAATATTGTGCATTTGTTTCATTTTCTTTTTAATTTCTAAATCGTAATAAATCGAATCATTTTCCTACCTCATAAAAGTCTTGTTGAATTTTGACAGATGTTATCAGAAAGTTGGTTTGGAAGGGATCAATTGCTTTCTTCCTTTTTTCCCTTTCCTCCTTTTTTCTCTCCTTTTCCTTCTTTTTTTCTCCCTTTCCCTTTCCTCCTTTTTCTTCTTATAACTGTCATTGAACAGCCGACAATATTTTCGGTTTACAACTACCAATGTTCACTTCCACAGCCTTGTCATTTTGAACCCAATCCAGAAGACAAGGAAGTCCTGGATCAAGTATTAGGAGAAATTTGTCATCCCGGAGGACTTTTTGATGGAACTAACCCGCATTTGCGTTACGTGGCGAAGAAAACCACGAAAGCCTCTTATGGTTAGTTTGACGGCAAGGGGATACGCTTACCACTGTCAATACTGTGATCGGTTCGAGCCGGGTGCTATCTACCAGCTATAACTGTTAGTATGGGGGAGGTAACGATTTTTAATTTGATCATGTTCCCTACTTTAAGGAAATATAAAAAGAAAAATGTGTTGTTTTACTTGCCTATTCCGGTGGGTGGAATTATTAAATTTGTTTTTAAGCATTTTTAATTGATTCATAAACTTGAACTTTCCGCCCTTCTATCTGATCTAGGTTCGCCTAATGCAGTGTTTCCTAAACTTATGACGTTTGCGTACCCCTTCAAAAATTTTCGTAACGCTGTCTACCACTAATAAAAAATGAATGTATTTTTTACTATAAAAAATTGCACAAAAGTTAAAAATCACAGCTGGCTGTTGACACCACTAATTATTAACTGTTAACTCTGCAAAAAAATATCTAATAGAAAAATACGTAATCGTAAATTTCCATGGCTAACTTTGTTTTTAAATATAAAATTTTTAAATTTTCGTTTATTGCAAGATATTTCGGATAAGAACGCGTACCTCCGCTAAACTGTTCCCGTACCCCTGGAGGTACGCGTACCACACTTTGGGAAACACTGGCCTAATGGAAGGAGCGGGCCTTTTAAATTTAAAATCAGAAACCTGTCAGCAAGGCAAATTATCAGTGATTATATCTCCTCTCAGATTTGAATTTTTCAAACTTAACTAAATTTACACAAAACATTCAAAAACGAAACAAACTTTAACATGATAAGATGATAGCCAGTATTATATAAGGGCTGACAATTGCCCATCAAATTAAGCTTTTGCATTTCTCAAATTCTAAAATCATAATGACACACAAAAGAAATATTTAATTGAATAAATAGGAGAGCGCCGTCTGGTGGCATTCCGTGACAGGAACTGATGACCGTAAGTGAGAAAAAAAAATATTTTTCTATCCTTTTTCATTAAAGATAAGAGGCAATTTTCCCCTTTTAAAATCTGGCACAAAAAAAAGAGCTGCAAATCGGGTACTTGCAATTCAAGAAGAAGCTCACAATACATGCACACGTGACCTATGACGTCGGTACCAGCTGATCGTTTATAAACAAGATGGCGTGTTTAGTTGAGCTAAGTTTCTCCACATAAGTTAGAATGCTAATTAACGTGATTTTAATTAAATACAGCTCCGTATCGCGCATCGAATTTATTGATGTCTAATTCGTTCTCGTTTACGTCTTTCACTTAACTTAGATTTATTATGTGTTTACGTATTTTATTGCAACCGAGACATATTTTTGTTTTGTGCACCTGACAACTTCGATGCATATTTAGTTTGCTTATGTCCTACATGTCTTCATGTTTGTCTTTGTGTTATTAAATATAGATAATTGCAATCTTTGTAAAATAATCTTTGTGTAAGAATATAGAATGTGTCACTTAAGAGAATTTATATTTGATGGGCTTGGCTTACTGGAAATAGAATGTAAAAAGCGGTTGCTAACGTTAACAAATGCCACGTTTCAACAACCAATAAGGATCGAAATACCTACACTACGACTCATGCTCCAGAATAAGCCCGATTATAATATTTTGGTTAGTAAAACAAATTTGGTTTTATGATGATTTTACACTTTACATTTTTATTTAATAACCGTCGTTGAACAGCCGACCCAATTTTTTGTTTTACGACTACTAATTTTTAACTACGTAGCCTTGCCTTGTAATTCTGGACCCAATACAGAAGACAAGAGAACTCATGGATCAAGTATGGCTCAGTGCATGAGACGCTCACTTCCCAATCAGGTTAACTAGGTTCGAAACCCAGCTTTGGGTGGTCGCTACGAATCCTGCTCCCGGCATGCACCGACCACAATGCTGACGAAATATTCTCAGTGGTAGACGAATCATGGGTTAATATCCCCTTGCCGCCAGGTTCTCGTGGTTTTCCTCTCCATATATCGCAAATGCGGGTTAGTTCCACCAAAAAGCTCTCCACGAAGACTAGTTTATCCCAATATTTGATCCAGAGTTCCGGTATCGGGTTCAAAATAAGGTTTGATAGTTATAAATTCAGAATTAAATCGACTGTTTAAAATAAAACAAGTCATATGAAAAAGAATTTTAAAGTCAATTCCCCGTAACTCTACATTTTAAGTGTTGCGCCTTAATATTCAGGAAAAGGAATATTAAGACCGTAAGAAACTACTTGTTCAGTCCATGCCACTTCGCAGAGCTTGACCCCATGATTTTCGTCACCACAGTGTATAATTATATCAAAATTAGACGCCGCAACTTGAAAAATAAAGGCTTTTTGCTTTATTTTACTTTATAACCGTCGTTGTAAAGCCGACAGAATTCTGGGTTTAACAACACCGTAGCCTTGTAATTTTGAACACAATCATGAAGACAAGGGAACTCCTGGATCAAGTATTAGGATAAATTGCCTTCGTGGAGGATTTTTTGATGGAACTAGTCCGTATTTGCGTTACATGGAGAGGATAATCACGGAAACCTCCCTTGGTTAGTCTGACGGAAAGGGGACTCACACCCATGATCCGTCTACCACGAAGGTAATTTTACGCCAGCTCTGTGGTTATTGCGAGCCGGGCGCGGAATTCGCATAGACCAGCAATAGCAGTGATTCGAACGCGATTCACCTCATTGGAAGGCGAACGCTCTATTCCGTGAGCCACTTTTTCATCTTACTTGAAAAAAAAGAAAGGAAAAATTTTGAAACGCAATGACTATATAGCCAAAAGAGAGAGAGAGGGAGGGAGGGAAGGGGTGAAGGTTGAAGAACTAATAGTTAATGTCAAGAAAAACGGAGGGGGTACCAAGAAGCTTGACGACGCAGATTTTGATTAAAATAAAGCAGATTAAATGTTATTAAATCAACAGATTATATACATAACTGCTATAATATTAAATATTATAGCAGGTTCATATTTTTTTCATAAAATAAAATTCACTTTCACACAAGAATCATTATTATACTCACAAATAAAAGTTAAAAAGAAAAATGGAAATGTGTTTTGTATCTATCTATATATATATAATAAAGTAGGGAACCGATTATCCGGAACGATCGGGACCATCGCTATTCCGGATAACTGATTTTTCCGGTTTTCTGAATCGCTACAAAATACCGTCTTTTTAGTGTTAAACCCAACTAAAAAAAAATTTTTTTTTTTGAAAATGATCTTAAAAAGAAGAAAAAACGATGACACTAATGATTATTTCTAAAATGATGGTAAGGTGAACATCTTTAAAAAAAAAAAGAAAAATCGCAAAATCTTATGAGGAAAAAAAAAATTTTTTTTTAAATGGCGAGAAAATTTATCGAATTTCGTTCCGGTTTTTTGGCTTTCCGGTTTTCTGATTTCC